CCCTCCTCTCCTTCGGGAGGAAGCTTAAATCATGGTTCTGGGACCAGGCATTTGGGGAGCAGGTTTGATAGCGATTGCAACGTTTATGTGAACTGACAATGCTAATAATGGATTTTAACTTAAAGGTTTTATTTAATGTGTAATGTTGTGATATATTGTGTATGTATTCTGTATGTGTTGGCATCGAATTGTTGCCGATGTAAGCCGCCCTGAGTCCCCCTTTGGGGGTTGAGAAGGATGGGGTACAAATGTTGGAAGTAAATAAATAAATAAATAAATAAATAAATAAATGTAACTTGCCCAAGTCATTTATGGCAGAGTCAAAATTCACTACAACACACTGACTTTCCTTTCTTGGGTAATTAATACCTATATCTGGTATTTGGATTTGTAGACTCTGTATATGTGGTGGAGAGCAAAAAAGAGAGAGGAAGAATGAATGTGAGTGAATAAATGGAAATGAAGTATGGAATAATTTATTTTAAAATGATACATATTAGGAAAATGTAAGTTGTGACCACTGAAACCAACCCTATTCTTAATTATGGCTGCCATCTCTCTTTCCATCTGTTCATATACAATAATGATAAGACAAAGAGTGTGGGGGGGGGGGGGTGAAACTGAGCCATTGTGCCATTTCTGAGGCAAATGCTCATCTGCACAAAATATTGACATCACAATAAGCAATTTTTTGTCTAGGCAGGCAGTCTGGGAAGCTGTTCCTGCATCCTATAGTTGTCAATACCGCAAATTGTTCATAGCAGCCTTACATTTTCCATTTTCCTCCACATATAATATGTAATTTGTTTCACATTGTACATGTACTTCAAAAAATAACAGAACATGAAATTCCACTTCACAGTACAACCTGAAAAACACTGCTGGTGTGAAAAGGTGTTTAATTCAAGATGCGGACAATATTGCCTTCTCCAGTACTGTTCTGAACTACTTTATAACACAATGTAAACAAAATGGACTAAAGATTTTTCCTGTCCTTGGCTTCATTGTACATGCTCGTACACTCATAAACAGTGGTTCCTGCTTACAAAACAAAAGAAAAAAGACTGAATCACCAAGTCCCTAAATGATAACGTACCATGATATACAAGTGCAGTCAAATGTCATGATGCTGGTACATACATATAAAGCCTCAAATAATCATTCTGTACATTCTGTACACAGAATGGTGAGTAGTTCAGGATTTATGTATTTTGTTTAGAAATGCATCTCCAGTGTTTTCAATAAAATGAAAAATAAAAGACATAAAGACTGTAATGTGAGATTGTAAAGTCTCACATTAAAATCTTAGCACACCTGGTAAACTAGTCATTATATCCAGATGTTATTTCAAGGATCCCTCTATATTTCAGTTTCATCCTTGCTGTTCTCTACCGGCAACCTCACAGCCATAGCAAAAAGATGCCCTGCCCCACTCTCCTGAAAGAAATATCATATTCCACAGCCAAATTCATTCCACATGTGATTGTCTTTTCTCCTTCTTTCCCAAGTTTTCCTCCTTAACCTTGTGTCCCCTTCCCCATCTCTTCTTAATAGAAATATCTCACTGAACATTGACCTCCTCGACATTTGACCCACTTCATCTCTTCATCACCACCCCTTTCTTCAAGAGACACACAAATCAGTAAGTTCTCTTGTTCATCTAGCTCTGTACTGCCCACACCAGGTTATTCTATATGTTTTAGAATCAAATACCCATCACCCTAGCCATGACTGCCAATGGTTAGAGATGACAGCACCTGTAGCCTAACTTTGGATGGAGCTTGACACCTCTACCACATACACTGTCTACACTCTCTGCTAGCATCTCCCCAGAGTTTCCGCAATAACATCCTGTGGAAACTTACTGACAGCACATGGGTTGCAGAACCAAAATTAATAAGAACATCAGGCCTGGCCTTGTCTTACTTAATTGCTGAGTATGCCTGCCCTGTTTAGAACAAGTCTGCCTGCACGAAGCAGGTGAACATAGCATTGAACAAAACATGCAGAATAATTACAGGATGTCTTAAACCTACACCTGTTGATAAACTCTACAAGCAAGCTGGCATTGCCCCCCTGATGTGCGCCGGGAAGTTGCTGCTGACTGTGAGAGAAATAAGGATGAACACTGTGAAAGCCACTCACTGCATGGCTTTCAGCTCTTTCCCAGTAGACTCAAATGAAGTAAAAGTATCATGAGAACCACCACTCCTCTTAACCTTCCCCTAGCAACAGCAAGAGTATCCCTTTGGGCAGCTAAACCAGGAAATCCCAATTGGATGCCCCCCTCCCCCACCCAGGAGGGTCTTCCTCCAGGGGCAAACCAAGAATAGGCAACTCGGAAGTCCCTGAGCAGACTCAGAAGTGGAGTGGGCAGATCAAAAGACAACCTGGCAAAATGGCACTACCTAGAAGAATCCTCAACCTTGTGCGACTGTGGAGCAGAACAAACAACTCTGCATCTGTTCCTCATGTACTGCAGAAGAGTTGTCGAAAGCTACTGACAATGCGGTCGCTGTTCCTCTTTTTTGGTCAAAAGATATTTAGCCACTTGTGCTTCTATTTTTATCAGTTTTATTCTAATTTATGCAATGCTTTTGATATGAAACAAATAAATAATTTCCCAGAGTTTCAAACATGGAGCTTTTTCAGCACTAGCTGGCAATGCCAAACAGGACCTTTACCACCAAGTTATGATCCACATCCTCCTCTCACTTTCTCATCTTCCTGCTAGCATTGTTGCTTCCATTTTGCTGTTGTCAATCAGAGACTTGGCAACAAAAATGATGGATCTTTTATGGCATTGCACTGCAATATGCCCATTAATTCCTACTGTTCAATTGTTATTTCAAGCAGAAGGAAACAGCAAGTGGCACTAGAAGACCAAATCTGCATGTGAGTGATCTGTTTTTGACATTTTTCAAATACACAAAGAGGCTGATGCACTTAACATTTCATAGCCACACCTTCTCACAGGCTGTCAACAAGACATTCAAGATTTGCATTGCATGGACAGAATGGCTCTGGTCATTGAAAGTGAATCCATCCAATTTACGGTCATCTCCCTCCTCCATCACCATAACTGATCCCAGTACCCCTGGGAGCTGGAGTGACTGCAGTAGAAAGGAAGGGGATGGAAATTGTGCTTTCAACAGCTCAGCAGCACATACCTAAATCTAGAATCAGACCATTATATAGAAGTGACCCTTACACGGGTTTTTAAATATTATTGTAATTAAGTTGCCACAATTTAGTTTGATAAGGAATACAACTTCCATGGGTTCTAATGGGACCAAGCATAAATTAACACAACAAACATAATCACATTGGTTTAAACTGCTTGAAAATTTAAATTTAACAGCAACAGTACAACATATTCTATAATGCAACCAGCACATAGACAGCCTCTCAAAGCTCCATGTATCTCAGAAAGTGCAGGACTTGCTTGCAAAAATATTGTGCTCAATAGTTATTGCAAGTAACCTCAAAGTCCTCATTCAAGGTGACATAAGCTCAATTCTTATTCCTGGCAAAAAAAAAATCTCCTCTTCCCTTTAGTGTTCAAATACAGCCCCTCTTTTCAAGGTTTCCTCATCTGCTGAGCTAAACTAACAATTCACAGGAAGTGTTGACAAAGGCTTTCAGGAGCACCTGGTGGCGCAGTGGGTTAAACCCTTGTGCTGGCAAGACTGCTGGCTGACAAGTGAGCGGTTTGAGTTCAGGGAGAGTGGGTTGAGCTCCCTCTGTCAGCTCCAGTTCTCCAAGCAGAGACATGAGAGAAGACTCTCACAAGGATGGTAAAAAATCAAAGCATCCGGGCTTCCCCTGGGCAACGTCCTTGCAGACAGCCAATTCTCTCACACCAGAAACGACTTGCAGTTTCTCAAGTCGCTCCTGACACACACACACGAAAAATGGCCAGAATCACTGGTTTGCTGAGTTTTCCAAGCTGTATGGACATACAGCCTGGAAAAATCACAGCAACCCAATTCACAAGAATTTCTATTAGCTTTCCTCAGAACTTGTTACATCTGCATCACAGCATCTTTTACAGTACCAATTTATTTATTTTGATGTATATTTATTTTACTATTTGTATTTCAATAAATGTTTACATGGCATCCAAAGCAGCTTTCAGAATGGAACCAAATATCATAAAATATAAAAATATTTAAAATTATCCAATTAAAGCATTTTTAAAATATTCCCCAAAAAGCGCCTGCAGGAAACAAAAGAGTTCAACAGACTTGCAAAAGACTTAACCATTATGGATCCAGGAAACACATTTCTGGGGTGGCTTTTCATAGGCTACCACTATCAAAAGGCTCTGTCCCTTAGGTCTACCCACCAAATATTTGAACAGCTAAGGGGCACATTGAGGAGTTTCTGTTGCTATTCTGAATACATTGGCAGGTTCAAAATGTTTAATATGATATAACGGTCTCTGACCATGTATTGCCTGAAAGATCAAAATCAGTTTTGGCCTCACTGAGACACGTGGCTCTACTTTAAAGGCTTTTGCAGTTGCCCGTTATTTGTTTAAAGCTGCTTAAAGGAGATCGGAGTACATAGATCAAATTGGGGTGCAGTATAGGGGAGATGAGGATAGATTGATGCATATATCTATGGCTACCTGTATATTTGTATTTTATTTTAAGAGAACTAGATGTATGTTGTATGTTGTGTCTGCACTGTCTGTTTTTGATAAGGCTTACTGGCTAATCAATAAAAACTGTTGTTAAAGGCTTTTGCACGATGAGGAATGGAGCCAACCTCAGCATACCCAACCCTATAAAATAACAGCAGGTATGGAGTTGTCATTCATGAGCTACCCTCTGAAGCCAAACCAAATACTCATCACAAAAGTCTATTGTCGAACACGGAATTAACTTCAAACAACGTTGAACGGTAAGTAAAAAAAGGGATGGGGAAGAACCAAACACAGAGTACAATTGTTGATAAATCTCTACTGTGTTCCACTCTATGATGTTAAAACTTACGGGTAAAATGATTTGAAGTGGATGGGTTGACACTATCACCACTGTCAGCACTTTCACTGCTGGAAACATCATCGTCGGATTCCCGCACAGAAGAGCAGGGTGAAGATCCGTCAACTTCTTCAAACTTCCTCTTTAAAATTCCACTCATAGCTGCAGCGCTGTCACATGTACCTGTGATACAGAAACAGGGGCAATGAAGCATGGAAACATTTGACTGCAGACCGGGCAATCAAGGTCTTTAGAGTCATTCTGAAATGGATTTTTTAGGAGAGAAACTCCAGTCTCTCGTGAATAAGCTTCGCAGAAAACAAAAGAACTGACAAAAAGTTTAATATTTGGACCCAAACCACATTATTAAACAGTGGACAGAGAGAAAACCCAAACACTGAAACAATAATGGAAAATGTCACAACTTCGTCTTAAAAGAGGAACTCAAATTCTAGATATCTGAGAGGGATAAACACGATAGTATATTTTAATGTTCAAGGTGGAGCCCCTGGTAGCACAATGGGTTAAACCCTTGTGATGGAAAAACTGCTGACCAACAGGTCAGTGGTTTGAATCCAGGAAGAACGGGTTGAGCTCCCTCTGTCAGTTCCAGCTCCCCATGCGGGGACATGAGAGAAGCCTCCCACAAGGATGGTAAAATATCAAACATCCAGGCATCCCTTGGGCAATGTCCTTTCAGACAGCCAATTCTCTCACACCAGAAGTAACTTGCAGTTTCTCAAGTTGCTCCTGACACACACAAAAACCCAAAACACTGCTTTAAGAATCTTCATGTTTCAAAAGGAAGGAAGAATCCATTTTTAAATGCTAATCCCACTTCCATGTTCATAAGCAAAATCCTGCCCACCCCCACTTCCAGGAATCAAGGCAGCTAACAACAAATACATATACATGTTTCCTAATGTTAGTAATCTGAGAAGGTTAATTCGAATTCTGGGTAATATTGACATTCATTCATTGTGATATTAATTTTTTATAAAACAATACACACACACACACACATATATATTACAAATAAGAGATCTTCAGAGAAGAACAGCCTTTGCAAGAACCTGTGTACATATATTTTTTAAGAATCCAAAGCTATTTTCAGCCTTAAAAAGGCAAATGTCTTTAGGATTAAAATAGTAATTTTGGTAAAAGAATATACTTTAGTCAGTATTGCACAATTCCGATATCAGCTTATTTTAAAATTATTACAGTGTTCCCTCACTTATCATGGATGTTTCGTTCTAGGACCACCCACGAAAAGTGAAAATCCGCAAAGTAGGAACACTATATTTATTTTAATATTTATACATTATTTTAGTATAGATTATTTTAAGTCTTTAAAAACCCTCCCCACACACTTGCACAGTACATAACCCTTCTTGAACTTAATCCTTGGCTCCAGCTTTATCCGCAGAGGCAGCCTCTCCATACAGACAAACACTCTTAAGTTCATATTGAAAAACCGCGAAATAGTGAGGGACCACTGTACTCCATAAATAAAGTAAGAGCCTACCCCGCAGTTCACATGGTTACATGAAAACACATATAACAGCCAACTCTATTGAAATGAAGGGCATCTGACCCAAGAATACCATAGAATTCTGTTGGAGAACCTAATAAATGCTTATGGAGAGCACATTTTATCAGACATGGATAAATGAAACCATGGATAATAGTGCCACAGATATGGTTGTTGTAGTGTAAGCCAGATTCATTCATTCATTTTGTTAGTTATGCTGCTGCACAGCACAGTACATTCCATGCATCGCACAGTAAGTAAACTGGGAGTTATGGACTTCCTTTCTTTACCTCACTAACCCCTTTGTAATCCTGCTCATGCTGTCTTCATGCCACACAGGATGCGCATCAAGCCTGTGACATAAAGTGGGAAGTGAAAAGCTAGCCCCACCCACTTTGGGCAACATTATGACCTCACAGCATGATGGCCATCATGGATTCTCAAGCAGGTTTTTTTCATTTGCTTAAATAGTCAACCCTTTCTGTGTTTTTAATAAAATTATAGGGGGTTTTTATGCTTGCCATTTCTATTTCCTATCCAAAAAGAACCAGGCATCACCCAAATGGACCTTAGGGAAGACATGCAAAATAGTTATCATTTTTATGCAGCAATTTAAATCTACCTGATTCACCCCTAGTTTGATTTTATCTAAGGACACATCCAGATGAGACAAATATTGCTGAAAGGTATTTGTATTTGCAGCCTATGAAAATCCAGATGACATTCATCCCATCCAGGGACGGCTCAACCCATTACGTGAAGTAAGCATTTGCAGTATAGTTGATTTTGCCCAGGGGCGCTCTTGAGGCATTCTTGGGGGGAAATAGACCTTGACATATGTGAGTTGTAGTTACTGGGATGTATAGTTCACCTACAATCAAAGAGCATTCTGAACTCCACCAATGATGGAATTGAACCAAATATGGCACACAACAAACAGAAAATATATTTCAGTGATTCATGGGGCGGGGAAATACTGTTTGCTTACCGTTAAAAATTACCTAGGGCCACCTCTGATCCCATCACTTTTATCTATAGAGCCAAAAACACCTTTCTGTTTGCATCTTTCTGCTTTATTCCAGTTAAATCATAGAATCATAGAGTTGGAAGAGACCTCATGGGCCATCCAGTCCAAACCCCTGCCAAGAAGTCAGATAGCTTGAGAGACAATTCTATAGCTTATATATATGAGTAGCAAATCATTTTTTTAAAATGTGTTAACCCAAATGAACACAAGACCATGGTTATAATTTGAAACACTAAATTGGGAACTGATAATTTAAGAGTCGCAAAGAACCAATCAGTGTGAGTTGAAGTTCTGAGAAGTGACCAAGGCAACCTTTTCACAAACATGATTTAAAACATGTTCCTCAAAGAACATTGATGGGAGTGAGGGAAGTGACCAAAGAATGGAGAAGACTGGGAGGAAGGAAGGCAAAAGAAGGCTAAAAGTCAAACCAAGGGTAAAGTTATAAATTAGCACTGCCTCTGGCAAGAATCAATTGGTGCTGGACAATTCTGCCTTTGCATTATTTTTTCATTGTCTGCCTTCCTTCCTGGTTATGTGATGTCTTCCGTGCAAGAAAAAAAGCTCTCCCCTCACATCTGGAAACCCAGGAGGAAAATTCTAGTCTTAAGCAGTTATTTAAAGAAACAATGAATTCTTCTCCAGTAAATATTTCACATAATACCCAAAAATATGCACAATTAACTTTCTCATAGTAGAACATAAGGTTAGTACACTTTATTCCAGTATTCTCTTATCAGTATTTTTACTACTGAAACTACCCATTCCAACAGGAAAAGTCTAGAATGACTCCAGGCTACACCTTTTACCTTTGGAAATGATAAATGCTGCTGCTACAACACTATGTAATTCTGTAGACATCACTTCTTAAGAATGTCTATTCTGTTATCTATGACAGTGCCACAACAGCCCTTTCACTTGTGGTGGAGAGGGGTCTATAATAGTCTTTGTTTGTTGGCAGTTGGAAACATTCATTGCAATTCCTTTCATTTCAACAGGTGGCAAGTTGTCCTACAATATCATATGGGCTGATTTGCCCATTGTACACCACTTCCTTGTCCCTTTTACTACAGAGTCCATTACACGATGCACATCTACTTCCAGATGTGCTTTGTAGTGAAAGGGGAGAGGAAGTGGCATATGCCATCCTGGCATCAATATGAGAGGCTTCCTGTGTTGCCTTTGCTATAATGGGGGGAATCTGGGTGTCAGATGCTTCCCCCCGTGGAATGGGTCTGGCGGTAAGTCAGGTGATGTGGGGTGACGAGTTCTCCACACCCCACGCTGGGATCTCCTGGATTTGCCATGATGTGCGGCAAATCCCTCACTTCTGATTTGTTTTTTATTTATTCAATTGTTTCCAACTCTTTGTGACCTTCCACCATATCTCCTGTGCCATCAGTTGGGAGTCCATTCCTCCAGCACCAACTGCCGCTCTGGGGCCAGAGTGAAGAGGGAAAACCCAGAAAGACACAGTCCCATCATGTATCCTGCGCTATCAGTTTTTTTCCTTTCTTGAACTTATTATGCTTTATAATACAACCCCTGGGGAAAGTAATGGCAACCCACCCCAGTATTCTTGACATGAAAACTAAATGGATCAGTACAATGAGACTTAATGTGATAAGGCTCCTATAATATGAATCATACATACACATATTGTATGCACTCATGTATAAATTGCCTTTATATGACTCATGGATAATTCAAGGGTCACTCTGCAGAGAGGGGGAAATACCAATACTGCCAGGTGTCCCTGGCTGCCACCACGGCATTTCTCAACAAAGGCATTCTAAAATTCCAGAAATGCCACCATGGCGGAGAGTGGATCAGTGCTTTGTTTATGCTTTCCTGGGATGCACTAAGCTTTTGCCTTCTGATATTCAGCTCAGAACAGAAGTGGTTCCTTGTTTTGATAAGAGTTATCAAAACAGCTTTCCAAACTGTGTGTCGTGACATGTTAGTGTGTCAGCTGCAGTGTGTAGGTGTGTTGCACGAAAGTAAGCAATCTTCTGAGTCTATGTGAAATAAGCAATATCAACTTCATGCATTTTATGCACCATACCAATAGACACCAGACTCTGGGGAGCAGAGGGAAGTTAATGTGGGAAGCTAGGGGAAATTCCTGTGCCTTCGCCCCACCTTTACCCACCCTGGCAGCCTCTCAACAAGTTCCTATGCACACCCTAACTGCACTGTGGCGTTTCTCCATCATCATCATCATTTGGAAGACGCCTCTTGATCCCTTCTTTCATTGTGACAATTTATGTATGTGTCCATATCTCTTATGAGAGGCTGGTCTAACCTCTGGTCTGCTAGCAAAGCTGTCACAAAATAATGCATTTCTGAAAAGGGGTGTCACCACCATGAAACATTTTGAAAGCTCTAAGTTAAGGTATAATACTACTACTTACAGTGAGCAATGGATGCTTATCCAGGTTTTTGGGATTTATTTTTTATTAAAACTTCTAGACTTATATACGGTATATCTACATAAAACAAATTAATAATGGCTAGAATCCTGTTGGACAGTTATGAATGCATAACCCAGAGTTACACACCCATGGCTTTTATATTCACAATCCAACATTGCTCCTATTTTAGATATTGTGCTGCTTTGGAGGA